CACACAGCGTCTTCACGACATGGCGGCAACAATACTACAGCGAGAATAAAAGTTATGCTTTCTTTCTTTGCGTGAACATTTGGGCTGTGTTATGCAAATCTTCCCACATCGTGACGTAGGTATGTGGGGGCGTGTTAGAACGAGCCGTTTTAGGTAGGCGTGGTTGACTCTTAACTTTTATAAAGAATATCTCTTTGGATTTGAGACTTTAGTCTTTGCAACTTTACAGATCTTCTTTATGCACCAAGAGCTTGTAACACTTCAAAGAGAAAGGAAAAATTGAAATCGCATCATATGACCCCTTTAAAGTCAGCACTTTTGTCTACATCTTATTTGAATGAACAGGAGCGTGAAGTCTCTCTGATCTGTTGTGTTTCAGCGAATCGAGCGTCGAGCGCAGCGGGAAGCAGCTCACAGACGGGAGACGCGTTAGGAAAGGCTCTGGCTTCAGTGAGTGACCAGCTCTAACGCAGACCCTGACAGATACAGCAATATATACAGATACACACATGATCTACAGCAACATGAAACCGCATTCACGACACATTCGACTTCTCTAGTGATGTTTTTTCTGAGTTATAAGTTATGTTATGTTTCTGCCCCTGAATATAAAATAAAAAAGTTGGGACTTTTTTTTCGGGCAATTCTGAGTTTATACTGTATCTACCCTAGTGAAAAATAAATATACTTAAATGTATTTGAAATACATTTATTTCATGCTAAATATACTACAAATGCATTTTCATATTTATGTACTTAATAAAATACCCTGGAATTGTACTAAACTGGTATACTTAAAGTCTGCTGAATTGAAACAACTAATTTTGTACTTAATGCACTTTTTCTAATTGTGCGGAAGCTGCTGAAGTACAACTAAAGATATACTTAGTATATTTGATTGTGCTAAAGTGGAACTATTGCAAGTATACTTCAGGTACACTTTAAATATTTTGCATTTAAAGTCTGATATTATTCAAAGATCATTCAATCCTCATCAAAAGTGACATTAAAACACATTTTAGATCTAATATTAAGAAATGTGCGTTGTGCACAAGTAATATGCCAAGTAAAGTTTAATTATAATTTTTATATCAGTAAGTCTCGAGTTATCTGTCAGTAAATATGTTAATAGATTTGAACTATACTTAGTATGAAATAAATGTTTTTTAAATGTATTACTTTTTTACTAGGGTAACAGTTCTTTTCTATTCTCATAATTGCAAAATATAATCTCAGAATTATATAAACTTGCAGTTCTGAGGAGAAAAGTCAAAATTGTGAGATAAAAAAAATTGCAATTACAGTTTTTATTTTTCATTCTGTGGCAAAAACAAAGTCAGAATTGTCAGATATAAACTCGAAATTACTTTTTTAATGTTATTTTTTTTATTCTGTCGCTGAAACAAGCTTCCATAAAAAGGACTAGGTGGTTTCAGAGAAGAAGAAACTTATTGTATTTTGAAGATTATATAAATAATGTTCACATTAAGACCAGAGACATTTATTAAAAAAAGTAAACAGCTACACGTGACTTCATGTTGCCTTTCAAAAAACATTTTAGCCAGCAAAATCATTCAGATGAATGTGGATTCATACACACTGATGATGATGATGATGTTTGTGTTTGTTCTGGTTTGTCATTGCTGTGTGTTTGTTGTGTTTGTAGATCTATTCTCCCGATCACACCAATAACAGCTTCTCATCCAACCCATCCACTCCTGTGGGATCTCCTCCCTCGCTCACAGGTAACACACTGTGTGTGTGTGTGTGTGTGTGTGTGTGTGTGTGTGTGTGTGTGAGAGAGTGGGTGTGTGTGTGTGAGAGAGTGTGTGTGTGTGTGTGTGAGAGAGAGTGTGTGTGTGTGTGTGTGTGTGAGAGAGAGTGTGTGTGTGTGTG